GGCCAAAATGGGCCGAAAATGACCCTTTTTCAAAAAGAGATAATTTTAAAGGAAAGTAAAAAAACCCTAAAAATATTCAAAATCCATCAAAACTCCTCCTTTATGAAAGGAGTGCCCTGCAAGGCAAGCTATGTAGTAATAGAGTAAGGTGATGTAAAACCTCAGTTTAGTCATAAGCAATGCTGTATGTAAAATTGTTTGCTACMGCCTGTGTGCCTTTTGAAGTGTTCCATGAGTAGACTTGTGCAGATGATGGAGAGAGTTGGAATGCATATATTAATAGTTACCGTTGTGTGACATAGCTAACTATGCRGTATGCATGGAATGGGTATTCCCACAAGCCGTTCACGAAACTGGTTAGTTTTGCTCCATCGTATGKTGATTACCATGCCTCAGTCGTGAAATTTTAAGTTTTAGTCAGTTGTTTGGTGGGTCAAAGGTGCGTGGAAAGTGAGGTAGCAGATGCGATTTGCGAAACATCTCGTTTAAGAGTACTAGACAGAATGAGCTGTCAAAGCATGAGGTAAAATTAAGCTGAGAATATATCTGTGAAAGAAAATTAGGTGTCATAGGCAGTTTTTGGTTAGGTGGTGAACCTTTGGCCCTGTTGATGCCTGTTAGTAGTAATTTTAGCGTCCAGTTATTGAGCAGGGGGTTAGGTAGTTCGAATTCCATGTGCAGAATTCCTACGATGTTTARATAACTGCGAACAGAGGATGGTTTTAAGGAGCGCGCTAGAAATGCTTCATATACGGAGAAGATGTGTTGCCTGGATAGGGACTGGGCGGTAACCCATCTTGTCACAGAACCGGAAGTATGCKTTGCRGTGCGTCTTGTGGGTGGATTTGGTTGATTCGGCGAAAAGCTGTGATCTGTAGTGTCGGAACTTGGTGTTCAGTTCCTCGGCTAGTGATTGGTCGCGATCATCTGGAAGAGAGGAATTGGCTGTTGTTAGCAGAYGTATGGTGGTTAAGAGACATGGCATTTACTGCAAATTGTGATTATYGATTGCAAAGCAAGGTGTAAAAGCGGTTTAGGTGCTGCGCCTCGTGGAGACGGGAAATTGAGTCAGTAAGGAAGTCCTTCTCTCCTTCAATGTAAACAGCTGCGATGTGCAAGTTACGTACCACAAATAACCAGAATAACTGGCGAAGCTCTGCCATCATTAGAGCATTGGCTGTTGTCCCCTTATTGATTATCTGCACTGCAGCTTGGTTGTCGCAGTGGATAGTTATGCGGTGGTTGGCCCAGTGGTTGCACCATCGTCTTGYGGCTAGAGTGATTGCTGTAATTGTGGTAGAACCAGTCACCCCGAAAATAACCCCCGCAGCGATGGGGCACGCATCCGTTACGACCTCTACTGTAGATAATGCGTTGAGGAACTGTTTGGTACCGTTGAAAAATTTGAGGAACTTTACCCACCAGTCATTGTCTGCCAGGAAATCCTTGCTAAGGCGCATATTGCTAGTTRCAGATATCGCGTTCATAAAACCTAGTATTCTGCGTAGAAAGGTTCTACCGCCGTAAATTACGCGGCATGCCCAGCTTAGTTTTCCAGCAGGACGTTGGAGTTGTTTCTTATTTAYGCGTCTTTTGTGTTGGAACTCGATTACTAGTTATTTCAACTCCTCAAGTTTGCTGCGTGGTAAGCTCATTGCGCAGGAGGCTGTGTCGAGTTCTACTCCTAAAAAGGTTAAACCCTGAGTGTGGCTCACAAGTTTGTGCTGACTTATTGTGAACCCAAGATTGTGCTAAAGGGTTAGAAGAGTATCAAAAGYTTGCTGGCAGCGCTGTTTGCTGTTTCCTATTACTAAGAAGTCGTCAAGATAAACAACTATGTCCTTAAACCCGCGATAAGCCATCATGCGTCGGTTGGGTGCGTCGGTTGGGTGAGGCGGTAGAATATTTCTGAAGAGCTGTTCGCACTGAATGGTAAGCGCGTGCCATAGAAATAGGTGCAATGGTTGTCGTCTTCGAACTTCCATTTGCACCCTGTGGCTTGATAATTTATTTCGTGAATTGGAACTGAGCGGTAAGCATGTTTGAGGYCAATTTTCGCCATATAGTAATGCGGCTTTATAAGCTTAATTACATCGTCGAGCGTTTGAAATTTGAATGCTTTAGAGTTGATACAATCGTTTACTGCTTGCCCGTGCGGACAGGAACAATCGTGAATTAGGCGGATTTCGGTAGAGTTAGGCTCTGGGTCAGACGTCGAGTTTCACGTGATCCGAACCTAATTACATCGAAGGAGACCGCCTTGTTATCCATTGTTTCAATTAGGTTCGGCTCATGTGAAGCTCGACGTTTGACCTGAACCTTAAGTTAAGTTTGGGAATAGCTCCCAGTGCGCTGACTACCTTCGGTTTTATTGCGGTTATTCTGTAATTGCCCTGTGCCAGTAGCGTAGCGAGGGGGCCCCAAATTTTTAAACACCTTTTTCGAAAAAAAACAACAACAACAACAAAAAAAAACATATTAAACCAAAACGAAAGAGGAAAATAGATTATTGCAACCTAGGAAAGTGCGCTGCATAAACCAGTTTATACCAATACGAATTTGTTTCTTTTTTGTTTGCGCGTTTATTCGTTTATTTGTTTTATGGGGGGAGCAGTAATTTTTGGGGGGGGGGGGGGGTCAGTGCCCCGCCAGCTCCTAGGTCCTCGCTACGCCCCTGCCCTGTGCAATCTCGTCTCGAATAGTTTGCTCGACGAGGTGCCTGTTATTGGGATTAGTTGCTGATTTATAATTAGCCATGTCAATATCTGCAAAGTTAGTGTAAAGCGGCACTAACTAAAAGCCATTGAGAATGCCGTCTGAAAGAAATGCGTAGTCTTCGTCTTGTGCTAGTTCAGAGAGCCAAAGATTGCGGTTTACAAGCCCATTGTATTATTTTTTTATAGTCRTGCTTGTTGAGGGTGTGTGGGATGTTTGGAATGTGATGCGTGTGTACAACCGGCGTGTGACTGAAAGTAGAAGTGAAAAAACACCCAATATTGATCAAAACCATGGGCCATAGCTCATGCTTTTTGGCCAAAATAGCCTAAAAATGACCTTTTTCCAAAAAGAGTGAATCTTGAAGGGAAGTCAAAAAACACCCAATATTGATCGAAACTATGGGCTCTAGTACGTGCTTCTAGGCCAAAATAGTTATGATTTTGGGTGTTTTCCATGGATTTGACTCATAATATTGTTTATTACTTCTGGTAGCTGACCTTTAGTCGATAGGGCATGGTGTGGGCACCTCCTATCATCCCAACCTCATTGGTAATCAGACCACAATGTCCTGCTGTGATAACCCATCGATTAGATAGCAGGGTCCCCCCACACTTGAAGTACTTGGTGGGAGGTCCATCAACAAAAACAGCTGCCATCCAAGGCCAGCTTCCTGGTGCACTCTCGTGTCCACCTAGAAGAAAACAGGGGAGAAATGAAATAAAAACAAGTAAAAAACGAAACAATGGCGTTGATAAATATAGTTATGCAAACAGTTGTGCAAATTATTTAGTCTAAGAATATCATCAAGAAACAGTGACTTGTGATTCCTATATACCATTTGAGCATCTTCATCTATTTTCTTATTTCCAACCATGTGTGATACTCTTGAGTATTATTTCCTTATTTACTGATGATACTTGTGAATCAAACAAACGTCTCATAGTCTAAGGGAATGACAGATGGTTTGAAAAAATGAGAAAATATCTTACCCAGGTTCAATGAGGCCCCGTCCACACTCATCCCGATATCTTTGAAAAGGGATATTTTCTTAATCCGTTAACTAGCTTAAAAAAAGTATCGTCCACACTTAGCGTTTCGAATGGTTTTCGCCCGTCCACACGTATCCGTTTTCAAAAAGTTGCGTCTTCAAGGCTAATCCGCAAAGGAAAAAGATCCGTTTTTAAAAATATCCGAAAACATGTGGACGATGCCTGAGGCTCATGTCATGGTTTTTSATTGACAGCAGCGCAAAATCAAATTTAAGCGCGCAACTCGGAACTACTAAGTTCGCAGAATATCGAAAACCGCAGGGGGAAAAAATCAAAGCRCGCAAGATCACTGCTCTGCCCCACTGTCTATTAACGGCATAAAGGCGCGCCCTAGATTATTTCACAGACATCATAGTAAATGTTCCAATACACGGTGCAGTATCTAGTCTTACCTGTGATGCGTTTATCGCCGACTTCATCTTCAACGCTTGCTTTAACGCCACATTCTTATTCCATCCAACACAAATATGAATAAATAATGGACTAAATATATGTGTCTACAGCGAATCGCCTTTGGTTCGTGATTATACATACAGCAATTCCCAAAAAAGGATGGTAAAAGATTTGTTACATGTTCAGGGGCGTAACAAGGATTTTGCCTGGGGAGGTTAGGGCGGCTTTACCCCCTGGCTACGCCCATGGCGTTGCATGTTGTATACATGTATACCAAGTCCGAACTTACGCTATTGGCGATGTGGACCCAATCAGCAAAAAGCAACAATAATATAAAATTTTCCTAAACTTCCTTCCTTGAAATAGCTGTATGCCGATCACAACAAGGCCGCTTAGAGCAGTTTTTGTAAGCTGGCAGCACACACACGGTCATGACACGGCAAGGCATATGCCAAACCAATCATATTGCACGAGAATTTACTCTCAATCCAATCAAATACCCRAAACACGTAATGAACACGGCGCGGACACCGTCACGCCAAGGTCACGTCACTGCTAGACCAATCACATTGCGCAATAAAAAGCCAGCGATTAAAATTCTAAAAAACGTCACGGTCACGGTACGGCGTGTAGAGCCGAAACAATACACATTGCTCTTCCAATCAAAATGTTTCGACGCGGATCGTCACCACTTGTCACCACARTGGTTTGCCGTGAATATTTCACATCCGGGGAATCAAAATCGTTCTAATATATTCTTGTTCAACTAAAACTAATATCCAAGCTAAAGCATCACTAACTCCAAAGTATTATTAATACCTAGTCACTTTGATAAAAGGCATCGAACCACTCAGCCAAGTTGTAATATATTGTATTTATTTTCCACCTTTACCTTCCAAGATTCAGGCTGCGTTTACATGGTACGTACCGRACGAATCCTTAACTGGTCAAAAATTTGACCTGTACATACCGTTTACACGGAACCGTCTCTTTAYTTGTATAAAWAAATACGTTCTGTTCACACGGAAGTGGATCCAAATTTGTACGGCAAGGCGTACGAATTTAATTTTTTTTCGGATAGCTGTCCCGCGCGAACGGAGCCCCTAAACGTACAACTATTTGACTGGTTGAAAATTCGTACCCTGGGTAAACGCAGCCTCAGTTCAAAAGTACATTGAYACTCTCCTATTTCGTAAAAAGTTTTTATCTTAACAATGATTTTAGCAGGTGGAGCAGGTTGGCTTACCTGTTGCCTTGGTATATCGTGTGTGATAAATCAACAGACTAAGCAAACCAGTTACGACAAGATCAATCCACATGCTTTTATCCTTAAACGTCCAGTTCATATATTAGTACTGTTTGAATAGAAATGTATTTTATTATGTAGGACTAATATATAGGAGGGTAGTGCTGTGACCGGGACGATACTGTGTGCGACCTTTCTGATTGGTTGAGCAGAAGTGTCACGCACGGATTGGTGTGAACCGTCCTTGGTGTTGTCACTTCCGTAACGCAATGTCGAGTCTGGAAAAAGAAGATACTAGTATTAGGGTCCATTGCAATCATTTGGGTCAGAAAGTTTTACACGGGTATCATTTTACTTGGGAAACAAAACATACCAAATCATGATTTCTCATTACACTGTTTTCTGTTGATGTGGATGACGTCATAATATGTCGGTACAACTATTCGAGTTTTAGTTGTGTTTTCAAAGAGGTTTCAGAAAAATATTTTAAAATTTATTTTTCCATTTTACGAAATATTCCTAGGAAAATTCCTACATCAATACATACACGATAAAAAAAACAGTGCCATTCTTACCTGTGAATCACGATCTAGTCACATGGACAGACAATGCTCCAGAACGCCAAGCCACTGCAATCGAGCATAAGTTACAATGACAAAAAGAGCATTGCAAAGAACTGGAAAATGCCCTTCAAAACCTTCGAGGAATCAACAAGCGCAGAGCCGCAGACAAAAAGTCCGTTGACGAAACCGATAAAAGAAAGTACTTCGTTTCGCTCACGGTAAAAAAACTCAGAAAAATCAAGAAATACCAACAATTTAGCGAAACCATGGGCTATAATCTATGCTTTTTGCCCAAGCTTGGCTAATACACCTTTTTCGAAATTAGATAAAATGTCCACTGCAAAACACCTAAAATGTCTCAAAACAATGGGCTATAGTCATGCTTTCTGGCCAAAATGGGCCGAAAATGACCCTATTTCAAAAAGATATATTTTTTAAGGCAAGTCAAARAACACCYAAAATTCATCAAAACCATGGGCTATAGTCCATGCTTTTTGGCCAAAATATGCCAAAAATGACTCTTTTCCATATTCAGATAATTCTGTCCACTAACTATAGTGTTTCATAGATCACAGTTACAGCAAAGTTGTGCCCACACAATGAATATTAAATAGCAATGTATTAAAGACCTTCATGACCAGTTACAGTYGCTCATGATTGACTAGAAAACTGCTATAAAAATCCAACCAATCCCTACTACGAGAAATGATATAACTATGCTTGAGATGACAGGTTTAATAAGTGTCAAACAAAAATAAAAGCATAATATTAAGGAAAGGGATGAAAATTTTGGTAAAAAATAAACTGTAATGAAACTGATTGATTAGAAAACATGGTAGATAGAGACACTTGGATTAATGTAGAATCCTTTGCCCTTTATGAAACAAAACAAAACACTAATAAACAGGGTTTAAAATAATAATGGATGGCCAGTCAATTACCAGTCCTGATCACAGGCCAAATTACAGTCTTAGCTTGGCAATACCTCATTACTGTAACTCAAATGTTACTGGTCAAAATGACTGACAAAGCAAAGATTTGAGAGGAAGAGTTCTAATTTTAGCAAGACATTGTCTGATATCCGGCCATTATTTTAAGCCCTGATAAAGAATGTCTTCAGAATGTCTGCAATAAACATGTACACGAACATATCACAAGATTTTGTCTTCCAGTCTAAAAACTATAATTACAATCCATACATCTATCCAAAACCCTTTATTTCGTAAATTATAACAAAAAAGATATGTATTCTCATTCTTATTTCTTGTTCTTCTGCACATAGTCCCACAGGTCTTTCACAGTCTGAAGAAAGAGAATAAGATAGATTAATGTTGAATTCTCTGGGTTCTTGTATTTATTTTTCAAGTTTGAAAACATTACCATAGCAACAAGGCCCTCGTAGGCCTTTTTGTAATTGAATAAACAGGATGTATTGTGGTCTAGCTTGAGTACAAACAACACCATATGAGGCATGAGGAAAAGATGTTCGTTACCCAAGATARCCCACAATGCACTATTTCTCAAAAATGGTCTATTGGGCAGTAGTATTAGTATGTGTATAAGCCTCCCCCCTGCGATCTTGGGTTAAACCAAGAGAAAATGAAACAAGGGAAAGAATTCCACACCCTATGATGAACACTCTTTGATTCTATYTTTGGAATCATTCATTTAATCTATCGTTTTTCTTCCACTTTATGAAGTCTGCTCAATATGGAATTCAATAGACTGCAGCATACATCACTTCTCTCTYGGTCAAATGGTTTTCAAAATCTCACCAGGAGTTTGCATTCTTTCGATAATTTGTGGAAAAGAAAATTATAAAAAAGATGGTGACAGGAGAAGAAAGGAAGGCAGACTATAGTTTTAATGTTTGAAAGCAGAGTAGACAACTTAAGGCGTGACAGTGACATGTTTTTCGGTGTGCTACCATGTGATAGATTTTGATAGCCAGTACTATCTACATGTACACTGATTTTTGTTTAGTCTAAAATCTTTTGTTGAAATGCTTGTCAGCGACAAGAMATAAGATTTCACGGCTTGCACTTCAATGATAATGGTAGTAATAAGTTTAAACAGCTTTGTAGTATCCACACATAGTTCAGAACCTGAACGGGCAAAGTATTGTGAAACAGAATGTAAGATTTATAAGTATATGTAAGACTTACATCTTTATCTGTTAACTTGTATGAAGAACGCATGAAATTCTGGAACTTATCTAACTTTTTGGGCAGAGCTGGTGACTGAAAAATAATTAATATTTAGTCAAAATTGCAGCCATATGATGTTCAGACAGTGATTTCTACCTATGATCTATACTTTGAAATAAATTAACATTTTGCTTATGTATAAAAGATTTGAAATTGAAATGGGTGATCAAATGAAACAATTTATAAATTATTACCTTCACTAAAGCTTGCTTAATTGTTTCAATATCCTGAAAAATTGTAACAGAACATGTAAGCTTGGCTCAAAATTGTCTCCTTTTAAGCCGTATGACCTATATATCATGACTTATATTGTACCTTTTATAAAGTCCTATTTAGCTTGGCTTTAAGTTGTCCCACTTTGGGACACTTGACCCATACATATTCTTATTTAGCTTGGCTCCATTTCAGACCACATGACCAATTACTTGAGGAYTGCATAAGCAATAGCCATTCAGCTAAGCCCAGTATTGTCTTGTTTTGGACCACACGACAATTGATGATCAAACATTCGCTTTCACCTTGGCTAAAAATTGTCTACTAACAGACAATGGGACCATTTTCTTAGGCAAAATACCTATTCCCCTTAGCCTAATGTGGTCCATTCCAAACCACTTGACCAATCTCTTTAGCATTATTCTATTTATAGTAATGCTATTCACCTTGGTGGGTTGTGGTGTTTTTGACTGCGGTGTTTTGGTCTGTGGTGTCTTTTGTGTTTTTCCTTGAGGTGTTTTTCCTTGTGGGGTTTTGGCTTCTTTACCAGCCTTCTTGGGTCCTACTCCCTGTTGACCAACAGATATCATTCATATTAAACAACATACATACAATCACATACAATAGCCCTGAGACATCTAAGCTGTTGACCTCTATCAACCCTTCAATGGACCTTTTCATACGGCGGCCATGCAAGAGAATAAAAAAATCTTTGTTTCAACCGTATAAATTTATGATCAAGCGAGGCTAAGCATGGTGTGGAATCTATTGTTAAAACCAATTTCTGGGAGACTAAACACATCAAATTTTTGCCTAAATAGCCACAATTTTTGGCAGGTTCCACAAAAAAAGGGAAATTTGAAAAGAGTATCTCAAACATATTTTTTAGTATAAAAATGAAAGAATTAATGTTAATGCTCCCTCAGTACTAAAGTTAATGTTATATTAAATTAAATGCACATATAGAAAGTACATAAGTGTTCATTGTTATGATATTGTTGTACATAATCTACTTACATTAGTCATCTGTTTCTTGTCTCCTTGTTTCTGAAATAAAAATAAAAAAATGAGTAAAATAAAAGATATTTGTTTTAATCATATTTAGGGCAGACTCACTTGAATACTTATGGAAAGTGAATTTAAAAAAATGAGTGACGGCCTCAGGGCTGCAAATATATWTTTTTCTATATGACTGTCATATGTCAGGGATAAGAGTTGACCTGACATGAAGCCAGTCTGGTTGGACAAAAGCTTTCATCAAAATTAACACTGCAACCAAAAAGAAAAGAAAAGAAAAGAAAAGAAAAGAAAAGAAAAGAAAAGAAAGAAAGAAGAAAATATGCATCTTCATGCTATGCACCCACAGTAATTCCGTCAGGTGAAACAATATGTCAGCCACAACAGGTGGAATGCGACTTTCCTCCGTTTGAAATCACTTTTCAGTTGTAATTTTTGGCCCTGGCAGTGTATACTTGAAAGCCCTGCATCAGGTTGTGCAATCTTGAGTGAATATATATGTGTTAATATTCCACATTGTAACTTTTTCAGAAGAATCTGGTCAGTATGTCCATCCAGACTGAACGTTTGCCAGTCAAAACCACTAATTTACTTCAAAATTCCAATTCATTCTAATAATGATAATGATAATGATTTATGAATTTATATAGTGCCTTTTCTATATGAATATAATCAAAGGCRCTTTACATTGAGAAGTGAATGACAGATTGCTTTTTATGCAATTTACAAGCATGAGAGATGGTTAGTATGAAGTGTAGGCACTGAGGGTGGTCACTGCYAGGGTTTCTTTACGTCCTCAGTGGTTCTTTTAGGTCCCTCCAATATTGGTTAGTAATGATGAGTGTGGAGAGACGGGACCGCCATTTAAAGTGGTCATCCGAGCCACTTGAAAGTCTAAYCATTTGCAGATGTAATTACACTTAAAAGCACTTTCTCCTCAGTAAATTTTAAGACTCTGAGTGTTGGTCCGGCCGGGACTSGATTCACGACCTCCCGCACGAAAGTCCGATGCTCAACCAACTGAGCCAACCRGTTGGTGGTTCTATTAGTTGGTTTATTGTATGTAACAATCTGAACCATGGTGAATGAATGTTTGTCGAAGTATTATGATCATCCGGGTGGATGTAATCCTTAGAAGGACTGTTTGATGAGRCTGACGGTACGACAACCTGAGCGAAAGCCATCTTCAGAGTCAAGTGAAGAATAAAGTTGCCTTATGAAGTGGTATATAAAACCTGTTAGGCTCTCTCCACCCTGGAGTGCTAATCTTATTAATTATGTTTGTATTACATAATTTACTGTGATGATACAATTACATTCTTGTTAAGACAATTTAATAAACTTAAAGTCAGAGTTACCACACCTTTTTCTTTGCTGTTAATGTGGCTGTAACCTCATCTTCCTCCTCGTCGCTCTCTTCCTCCTCATCTGAGTCATCCTCTTCCTCTTCATCACTTTCATCATCATCTTCTTCGGCATCAGATGCCTCATCACTTTCATCTTCGCTCTCTTCACCTTCTTCTGCTTCATTATCCAAAAGATCTGATGGCTTTTCGGAATCCTTTTATTATATAGAAGTAAAAATATTGGTCAACATCACACCAAATGATTTTATTAAACACCAAGCAACCTCAGGGCTGATCTATAGTTGAAAGRTATGCTATGACTAAGTCACATATAGAATATCATAAAATCCATATTAAAAGTCCCCCTCTTGCCAGTTATAAGCTCTCCTAGTTATATCATATTGTATTGGTCTAGAATAATTTTCAGGAATTTGTTCCACCTTTTTTGTATCTTTTTTGTTGGAAGGTTTCTTGCTTTTTTCTTCTTCCTCTTCTTCATCAGATTCCTCCTCTTCCTCGTCAGACTCTTCTTCATCAGACTCTTCCTCATCAGACTCTTCTAAGCCACASAATTAAAAAGATCTTGATGAGCGCACTCTCATAAAACTCCTATGTATTTTTGTTCCAGCAATACCCATGAACATCGTTAAATTATGGTGATCGCATCAGAAGGAATACTTGAAAAGGAATGTCACTTTAGGCAATAATGTATTATTATGTAGGKAAACTTCAGTAGGCAAAACGATGCTAAGGCGAAACAATAGGATACAATGTACCATACTGACTGATTAGATTTGATTGACGGCATTGAAAAACCACATTGCAGTGCGCAGCTCACATATGTTTATGAAAAATGTAGTAATCTTACCTTCATCAACCTTTGCTATTTTTTTTGGAGGTCCTTTTGGAGTGCTGGCCGGTAGAGGTCTTTTTTGCTGCTGAACAAATCCAGAAAACAACACCTTAATGAATGTATCTACAGCWGTACCATGCCTTTCTTTTATGTTGTACTGAAAGAACGCCATAACAAGARACAACTAAATGTGAACTCAGCCATACCTTTTTAGTCTCTACCAAGTCAGGGACTTCTATGGAAATAAATAGTAAAAGTAAACTCAAAATATATTAGTGGAAATAATAATAACCATAATAATAATGATAACTAACTGATGATGAAAATAAGATGAGAATTTTAACAACAATGTCTAAGAAAATGAAAGAAATATTTTTATAACTGAACATCCAACAGGGGCTCTTCCAAAAAAAAACACTCTAGTTTACAACAACACAGCAGTTGACTCAAGTTAATTTACTTGGAGGATGAACAACTGGAGAATCTGGGGGAAACCCTCGTGGCAAGGCAGTAGACATTATACAAAGTGAGGAGCAAATGTTTAAACACCCTTCTATGATAACTGGCGTCTTTATCTTTTATGGAGGTTTTGCATTATCAAGTGACGGCAGCCATGTTAGATGGCAGGAACAATACAATCGTTTTACATAAGAAAGAATTCAATTCCCAATAGTAAAGGGATTTTATTGTGTGTGTGTGTATTGCCGGTGCTGTGTGATCTCATAAAGCATGCACTCCCAACCAATCAGAACGTGAGATTCATAACAGTTATTTTATAATGGTTCATAAAAGTATACATGTATGACAACACTTACCTTCATCTGATTCCTCCTCAGATTCTTCCTCCTCCTCTGCTAAGCCTGTGAGTAAAATCAACCATCATAAAYTGTGTCAATATTCAACCTCTACACAACAAATTTAAAGTCACTCTTTGATCCAAATAACTTTATTTGTTTTAAGACCCCCTGTCTTTCTTTCTCTTGACAAAAATGTCTATATTGAAAATACTTCCCAGACATTATCAGCTCAGTTAAGAATATTACTCAAGGGAATTATATGGATCGCAAATKAATAGGGCTACATTCCATCATTGTGATTAGATCATGTGTAATATTTCATACTGCTGCACAGCTTRAAATAATGGCCCATCAGTCACTGGTCATGGCCAATGGCCAAAAAAGTTTGAACTTGGTCAAACCTCATTTCTGGTGAAATTGACTGACAAGGCAAAGGTTTGACCTAACGAGTCCTAATTCTGACAGGACATTGTCCGATGCCTTTTTTTACAGTAAGCCCAGTGTTCTTACCAGGCCGCGCCATTGCGGGATTCRYGCATAAAAATCAGAAATAGCGCMCAAAATRAYGTCAAATCTATGCGCCCCCAAGGGCGCATGAATTATCCAAAGAATACTTCCTGATAGTTTTAAAGATTTAGAGTACTTTTGAAATAATAAAAGTYGCATTATATTGTCGATAAACAAGGTGAAAGTATACATGAAACGCCACAAATCGAACATAGCCGCCATCGCCAAGACGTCTGRGATTAGTCTGTGTTAATTGCCTCTGTTTATTGATGGCTCAATTATGGCTGCCCAGCGAAATTTTATTGTGTTGTCATTACTAATAAAACTGTCTTACATAGTTGTAGATTTGCAACAGAGTTACTGGCTAAAAACATTATTATTYGTTGTTTTAAGATTTTGGAAATGGCCCATCCAGTTTTCTAAATGGCCCCTAAATTTCGGATTGGTGGGCCCTTTGACCCCCTGAAAGAAATTCCTGGTAAGAACACTGTAAGCCCTGCCGCTGACTGGCCATGCCGACTGTCATTCGACAGTCATGGTAAAGCTAATTTACTATAACACTGATCACTTTCTTTATTTCAATACAATTTATAAAGCATAATGCATTCAATCAAGGATGGAGGTACACTGAACTTTCAAAGAATAAGTCATTTTTGCATCCTTGATTGAAGAGCACAGAATATTTATAATAACTATATAATATTCATTAATATTATTTATCTAWAATAAGTCTGCATGGAATATTTCCTTACTTTGTACATGACTTCCTGTTAGATGTACTGGTCCAGATCCTATGACATAACAGGTTCAATTAAATCTTACTGGTAATAATACATGATACCATTAAAATATTATTTTTATTATTATTATAACACCAAGAAACAGACATTTTCTGCCTCCAAGGAACTCTAGATGTAGAAAGACTTGGTTTTTTGGCTTCAAAATTTATAAAACCAAAACTTAAAATATATGTCTAACAAATATATATTTACCTTCTATGAGTTTAAAAGTAGCAGGAGGATTGAAGGTGAGGTTTAATGTGCACTGCAAAAAAAAAACATGATAAAYTTAAGGGACCATTTATTATACATAAGAGGAAGGGAAAGGAAATCAAGGACAGAAGTGGCCTTAAGGGACTGGTCATCACTTATTACCTGAATATTATGGAATTTATGGGGCTCACAATGTTTTTAGACAACTGGAGGGGAATCAATAAATAGAGGATATTACATGGGCGCGCGGAGATACGAAATTTTTCTTTGAGTGTTGAAAAGATCTCTCACAAGTGAGCGCAGCGAACGAGTGAGAGATTTTCAACACGAGAAGATAAATTTCGTATCTCCAAGCGCCCATGTAATATTTTGTTTATTATATAATTATCAATGAAGTATGTTTTGTTGGCTTTTTCAAGCAATTCTTTCCGTGTATTTTTGAATAGCCATCGCAATGGTGTTATTTTCACACGTGAAAATAACATGTTATTTTCACGTGTGAAGATATCAATTTTTCGAAATAGAGAAAAATAGATATTTCATTGGTAATTATATAATAATAACAGTYATCATTGTCTTAATTTATAGAAGGTGACCTATGATAGTTGCCAACTTAGCACTAATAAACTTGTGGCCAGATAGGACAGCTATTTTACATGGTCATCTGAGTGAAGGCAAAGGTCTAGCTACTTGCAGTTATTTTTTGAGCAAAGGCAGCACCTTCTACTCAGATATTTTTAGCCCTTGAGTGTTGATCCTGATGCAAAAGCTTGTAGCTTTGATCTCCTGCACTATAGATGCTCAACCATCTCCTTCACAAGATATTAAATCATATTCGAGGAATCGTAGAAAATAGTCCCCTTCACAGTTCCCTGCGCCATCTTGAAAGGTAGCCGTGCCTTTGCATCGAAGCGAGATGAACGCAGAGCTCGCAATGATAGAGACCTTTTTTTAACACCTTGGATCATTATTCACATGTCTCTATCATTGCATGCTCACCGTTTGTCTCGCTTCAATACAAAGGCTCAGCTACCTTTCAAGATGGTGCAGGGAACTGTAAAGGGGACTATTAATCCTGGCTATTATGTCATGAATACAACACYAAAAAAGTCTCTTCAAAAGCTTTTGATGCAAATATCAGGGAAATATACCAACCCATCATTAAATTCCATAAGAAACATTCATAAATCATTAGTGCTTAATAATAGCTTATTAGAAAAAGTGTCCTACCATTTCCAGTGATCCTTCCCTTAGTGCGACTATTGTATGTGTACACTCATTGCCTTGGAAATCTACAGCTGTTACTTCTACGACATTACGGCCAGAAGCTTTACTACCCAGACATGCCTAAAAGCAATAACAGTGGATTTAATTTTATTCAGTTTTATTATATAGTTAGGATAGTAAGTGTGCTCGATATTTGYGGCTCAAGGATGTTAAATAGTAAAAAAAGCAAAGATAATGTTTGCACAACCCAAAGTWTTGTCAAAAGAATAACTGCTGTTTTATTGCTGTTCAAGTTAACTAAATTGGCTTCCCTTAGGCTAATAGATGATTGGCTGACAGCTATGATCAATAAGAGGACAGACACATAGAATGACAAATAGCGCARYGCAGCCGTGACGTCATAAAAACGAAGACAAAGGCGAAATTCGGACAAACAAACTTACAAGTTTACTTTCAGCAGATAATTTTCACAGCCGATCACAGTTGATCTTAGTTTACATGGGTTATTATCGTAACTTTAAGTAACAATAATAAAATCGGTTTGTATACTCCTCGTAGCGGTTAAACAGAATGCAATGTTTGTCCGAATTTTTAAGCTATTTTTAGAATCAGCGCGCTGTGCTATTGCTTGTGCACACCCCTCACTGTGCTCATAAAAGGCAGCCACCTTTGTTTTATACCAAAAAGCACAATGAGATGCAGAATTTAATATTATTATTACTCATAACTTAGAAATTGTGGTTATTTTTAAAAAAATAAAGCATTTGCAATACATTGTGAACACTAAAAACTCACTTTTTTATTTAAGTAGATTAATGAAAACTAAAAAATGGAAATTTTCACTAAGAATACCCGGCCCGACTGAGTATAAGCCTTGGATTTCTAAGGCATTTTGCAACAGTAAATATCGTACGAGACACGTGGTTCGAAATGCCCCTAATAATGCTGTATTGGCAAATCAAAATTAATTACTCCTCTCAAACATACAATCTTGAATTTCAAAACTATCATAAAGTAAGAAACCCCCAGGTATTATGGTTTCTGATTCGTAAATATTATCGAGAGCATTGCCCACCTAAGCATGGAGTAAGGCATCGTGTTTACTATATATAAGCTTACCTGACTTAAAATCAACTTGTGATCCACCTCTGATAATTCGCTATCTTCAAACTCTGGGTTGAATTYAACCTCAGGTGAGCTTTTACTAAGCTTACCGCCTGCGAATGCGAAGAAAAGAGATTAAACATTGCTCATATTTTCGGTATTTATGGCTGTTTCGTGTYCTTACCCCAAAAGTCTTCCTTCTCGAGGACCGCCATCTTAAAATAGAGAACGAACCGCAGTTACACGTGCTCCTTACCATGATCCACTCGGCTATCGTTATACACAGGAAACCCACATACAGACGAAGTTGCACAAACACGTGGATCATCACATACACGAAATACTAGACTTGCTACAAATCTTCCACTCTTTTCCTTTCCCTGTCTATGGAAGGAGCGAAGCGCGGGYATATTACGAGACGATTGGCTGATTTGATATAATTAATTCCGTCGACGGAAAAACCCGTCCGTAAATTTGGCGCGTCGATCAAGCAGAAATGAAAAGTCCTCCTATACCAGTAAAAAGGGACTTTTTGAACGTCTACGTTTCTACCTTTCGGCAATGCAGTAATATGACAATTAAATAAAATAAATAWAAATAAATCACTTTTTATTTAAGTGTCTAGTYGTTCTAGCGCTTTCGCACTAATTGGGGACACTTTTCACTCACACGCACTACCACTACATTTAATATTCTATGCACACAACGCTCAACTCACATGTTGATTTTTACGGAGGGAGGAACCCGGAGAACCCGGAGAAAACCCTCGAAGCATAGGAGAGAACAACACATCAAACAAACTCAATTCGCATGTGGCGAACGCAGGGCTCGAACCAGCGACCCGACCCGTTGGACTCACAGCGGTGAAAGACGACGCGTTAGCCGCGAACGCCACCCATGCTACCCATGCTACAATTTTGGTCGGAAATGCAAGTGTCTTGACCCATACTGCTGCTATTATGGGGAATTTCGATAATGATGATGATCAATAGACCGTTTTCTCAAGGTTGCGGCGCATCTAATCTTGACGGACCACGAAACTGAAAAACGCAAATTCAGTATTCAGAAGTCAATTTTATATTCAGAAGAAGAGATCGACTTTGTGAATTATCGAAAAATCTAATAGAAATGTATGATAATCACTCATTATGCCCRTCACGTTTCTTAAATTTAGATAAGATCTTTCATTTTTTATGAGTATTTAGAACATTAGTTTATCTATGACTAGTTTATCTAAGATTGGACAAATTAGGAGCAGAATTTGCATGATTTATGATCGACTTTACTTAGAGTTTGTACAATGTTGTACAACTATGATCCAAATATGCGCGAAAATAGTATAGTAATTGAATCGGATTATCATTCATATAACAAAACGTACTTATAACTCGAAGTTTACTAGATAATCTATACTATTAAATAAATCAAAGTCATTGGATGACTAYGATTCGTCAACTATTAGTGAAAATTGCTACGAAAGTCCAAACATTGCACATGTCAACTATTCCCATCAAAATATTTCAAAATCTAGCTATCCAATAATCTTTCCTTCATATTTTGAAATAAATCTGAAATAAAAAATTGGRGGTGACCATTCTCGTTTTTGATTTATCTTGAAAAAACATCTCAAAATAGTCGAAAACTGACACTTTTCTGAGTGGAGACTGGCGAATCAGATAAAAARGAGAAAAAAGTGAAAATTGGTTTTGAATATGTTTTTTATTTAGTTTCCGAAAGAAAAATGCCTAAACTTTGTTAGTTCCATGCTTTTTGTTGCATGCGCAGAATGCGTAGTGCAAAACAAGGRAATAGCCTGCGTGCAGCCGAACTAACTGTTAAGTGAGAGAAATTAAAAGTCTGGCTGAAAGCAAGCTACAAGGGAATTACCTTTAAATGAGTATATTTTAAATGCCGTGCACGTGTTGCCATATTACATAACATTTGGTTGTTTGGTAGAGGCTCACGTGTGACTTTGATTTYTTAGTTTACTAGAGAGAGACGCGATTGTTGGTTTAATAATAAAGATCTAAAAAGTTGTATCCCGCGTCAATACATGTGTATTTAGTATATAAAATCATAGTTAATAGAGGTAAAATAGTCCTTCGTGGTTGCGTAAATTACAAACTGCTTGCTACCATAGTTAATATAGTGGTGCTCCATTTGTTATTTATTCCAGGGGATTACCACGCATAGAATCGCTTCTTTTTTTTATTAGCAAGCTAGACAAGAAGCCGCTCAATAAACTTGAAAAAAATGTCAAGTATTTGAATGTTCTTTATTTTTTCTGATTGAATATAGTAATATACCGGCTTTGAAGCTTTTGTTGCCAATCTTATTGGTATAGTATTCCCCTGGTACCGAAAATCTCACCTAACTTTAAAAACAATAGGGTGTGTCGAATTACCATACCTAAGGACAATAACTGACATTAGCATGTGTAAGGTACTTGTGCGGTAAAACTCTCGGGAGCCCAGGGGTAGAATTCTGTCGCTTCTTTCTCGAAACAAACGACAGCGGTAGAGAAGAGAAATTTACCCCTGGGCTYCCGGGAATGTCTACTAACAGGACTATTACCTTAACTCATTTCTACCTAGATCTATCAAACTATGGAACTTGCTACCAATACACTGTAAAATGAATGATGTAAGCCTTTCCAAATTTAAGGAACTTGTGACCACCCATTTTGCTTCCAAAATGGAACATTTCTTACCACCTTAAGATCTTTTAAATTTGAATTTTGATAAATTTTGATCCATCAACCTCCTATGATCCTGTTTTTCTTTTTCTTATTGTTTTTTCCTCGTCAATTTTAATGTTAATCATGTTTGTACTGTATGTAAATTGTATGGAGAGGGAATATCAATTGCGACGAAAGTTCTGTTTCCTTCGCCAGTCACAAAATTTGTATGTCTCAAGTTTTATAAAATGTATATGTTTATATTGTGACAAATAAACTAAACTAAACTWAACTAAATAGTTATGATTCAGTTCCTAATTTTGAAGATACTAAGGCCATAAAAATACTAATTAAATAAAGTTAGTAACTAATCAGTAATTTTTTTTACAGAAATTAAAAATTAGTCTGGTAGGCGTCATTCTCAGGGGTAAAAGGAAAAGGAAAAAAAAAGGGGCGAAAGACCTTTAGAAAATCGTAAAATATATTTCTCTAATCCAACTTTAGATATTTTGGTTGAGTGGTGAATMACAAAACATTTCATATGTGAAAGCCAAGAATTGTTGGCCTGGAGCGACCAATCAACGGCGTGCGTTATTTTGCCCTGTCCACTCAACCAGAATATCAAAAGTTAGCTATTAGTAAAATATTTTATCTTGTTATTATGTTTTATATGAGTCCTGGGAAGATTTTCGAAGACTTTGGAGAAAGCCATTTGTCAATTGTTTCCCCAGAGCTCAAGGGAGTCAATTGTCCGTGTTCATTTAGGTAARGATTTAAAAGTCCTTTGATGATTTTGAAAAATACCGATAAAAGAAAAGGAGGTCCCTCGTGTAAACCACTGTATTGTGTTCATGGTATCCTCAATAAAGATTGGGATTATCAGTATTATCAAATCAGAACCTCTTCTTAAAAGAACTTAATGATCCTAGCCTAAATGATCGTGGCGACTTTGCTTCGCTCAGTTTCAGCTGATTTAAGACCTGTTTTCACAGCTGGCAAAGCGTTTCTTTCTGGAATGCTTTACTGAACTTTTTTTTATCTTTTWAGAAGTTGACATGACCAATCATTACGAAAAGATTCCCAACTCAAAGTTCAAACCGAACTTCTTTTCTCGCATTTTCTTTTGTTGGTTGAATGGCCTTTTCCTTCGTGGATACAGAAGACCTCTAACAAGTGAAGATCTTTTTCCCCTTCCCGATGAAAACAAGGCACAAGGTTTGGTAACTGACTTGCACGAGTTATGGAACATAGAGGTCATGTATGCGCAAAAGCGTGGAAAGAATCCTCGGCTGTGGAAAGCAATATGGAAGCTCTTCCCCATGCATAATTATCTATTAATTATCATTTTGAGACTAACAGAAGACTTGATGACTTTTACTCAGACCTTTTTGATATGGTATTACCTGAAGCTGCTTAAAGGCAACRTGATGAGTTCGACACATGCGTGGCTAGTAGTGACTGGTATTGCTGCAACGACTTTTTTCAAAATCTTAAGCTATCATCACTTTGGTATTCAGACGCTGGCGATGGGAATGAGACTTAAGATTGCCGTTGTTGGCGTGGTCAACAAAAAGGTAAGGAATACGTCCCTCTAGTCATCATCATAATGGCTTTTTAGGTAATCAATTAATTGAGTCAAACGTCGAAAACGATGAGAAAAAAAACAAAATATTGTATTTAATAGGAGTTTGTAATGCAGAATATTTCAGACATACATAATACGCGGGAGAAGCCACAGGAGTGGGCGTGTGTGTGTATGAAGATTGGGATTCTTCAGGTACATTATTCTATTGTTTTCGTAAACAAAACGACTTAATCCTAAACTGAACATGACCTGGACGAACGAGCGAGGACAATGAATTCCCTTGAGTTTTTGCCCTYTTGATGTAGTACTTATCTGATGTTTTGCTTACAGTAAACTGACAATCGGCCGAAAAAGGAGTCAGTTAACTGACAATTGGTATACCCACTGACACCCTCCTAAACTCGCGAAATAGATATATATTTATCTAAAACACATTGGTATACCCTTTGTTTTCTTTTTTACACGTTGACTAACATTTTCTTATTTTACGGGTTAAATGTCAATACGTCAAATGTTATAAGATGGTCATCGAATGTGATGACGGTACTGAATTACTCATAAAATCATTAACTGAATTACAATTGATCCTAAATTGATCCTGAATTTGTCGTCTTTTGTTTGCCCAAATTAATATTCTATATATGGTTATCATAAATTCATCTAGTAAAGTTCGAACGTTTTTCCTCGAAGTCATCTTCCATTCTCAAGAAGGGCAAATTAATACTAAAATAAAGTCAATGAGAGTAAATATGTGGAAATTTACTTAGGAATGTGTTAAATATAAACAATTATGATTTCACAAGTGATCAGTTTAGTTAATCCGTGTAACAATAGTTATGTAAATGTTTATAGCAACTTCATTTTCTCTTGGTATGGTCAATAGATGCGAAACTGATCTGGGAAAACACTAATGGAAATAAAGTCTGTTAACTCTATTAGTCTGATAACTATTTCAAACATCTAAAATTTACTAACCTACTAAATCTGTGAACCGTGCTTTATCCCTTGAAATTCGGGATTCCTAATTCAGGTACCTTATTCTATTGTTTTCGTAAACAAAACAACTTAATCCTAACCTGAACATGACCTGGACGAACGAGCGAGGGCAATGGATTCCCTTGAGTTTTTGCTCTTTTGATGTAGTACTTATCTGATATTTTGCTTACAGTGAAGTCGCTAAACGAGGGTGCCAATGGGGTTAGTAGATAACTAACAATTGGCCAAAAAATAAGTAGTTAAGAGTTAACTTATATTTCATTATTTTTGGTTAATATTATGGCCAGCGCTCGTAAAATCCTTACAGTTAACTGACATTCGGCCGAAAAAGGAATAGTTAACACATACATCCTCCAAACGGATTTTTTTTTCGCCCCAAAGGCAATTTTTACCTCGCCGGTTACTTACACAATAATCAACGCCACATTTTCCTAGTTTTTTTACTAAGGTGGAAATTTAATTACAGTGTGGTGTCTTAATCAATAGAGTTGTTCCCCCAAGATACTTTCGTCCTAGATATAGCGTCAGGGTTTTCGGATCCCAGTGGCACATCCCTATCAATAATGGGCTTCAATTTACGACGGCGATGCAACAAGAAGTGTATTTAACTTCTCTTTGGGGTTCTGTTCATTGCAGATTTCATTCAAAACATTGTCACTCAACTTATCCACAGGGAAGGCAGACTTTGAAGGGGCAAAAGCCCAAAGTGAAGTTTTTTACGGCACTTTTTTACGGCACTGGTTGAAGTAGTCGTCGTAGATTTTACGATTAAGGTCGCTACCAAACCTTCCCTAGTATTCACTCCCCTTTACGAGCTAACGGTGACGTCACACTAGGTGTACCATTGCCGAGCTTCATACCTTGAGAGGGTTGGGTCGAAGGCCGGCAAATCGTGAAAACGATCAGGATGCCATTTTTCCATTGAATATTCATATGGTCAAAATCGTGCTGCATTTGTCAAGCTCTTCTCTCAGCCTGAGCGAATTAGCCAATCAGCGAACATTTTCCATTTTGTTCGTAGCTTAATATTTACTAGTTCCAGGTTTTCGGCTTGATAAACTACTTTTACTCGAAAATAAAGAAAATAAAACTCATTTGTGAAAAGCGTCACCAAAAATATCTTATAGAAATAGCACATTTTGTCGTTGTTCGGTGAAAAATATTTCGCCACACGAGATAACAAAAAATACTTGGAAACCGGTTTGCTGTGACAAACAATACATACAATACAATACAATACAATAACTTTATTTATACTTGAATTACAAGATAGCAAGTACATGCTAATATCTCCAAGTTAT